AGACAGAAGCCTGAAGATGATGAATGAGACTTCATCGAAACGTTGCCTAGATACTTCGAATCTTACGCGGGAGAAAACCTGAACAACCAAAGATCCACATACAAATACCCGCGAGAACCTCAGAAATAAATAAATATATATATATATATATATATATCCTCCTCATCTTTTCTAGGTTTTCCTATTGGTATTTTATGATTATATTAACTTGTTTGTACATACACTTATTATTTATTGTACATGTTCTTTATATGTACACTGTTTATATCATGTTTGTATGTATAATGACAGCTTATGTACCAGAGACAAATTCCTCTGGTGTCCAATCACACTTGGCCAATAAATTACTGTATTCTATTCTATTCACCAGAAAACTTCTTGCAGCTTAGTTACACAGAGCTAATACAATATATTTGGTAGCAATATCAGGTTTAGTAATATTTACAGAAAAATAAATGCAGATAAGGTGACTCAACTTCTAAAATTATCTAATAATAAATAAATATAAAAATAATTTATCTTCCAGAATTGTTGGACTTTATGTATTGCTACCAAATACTATATGAATAATTCAGTCTCATTATTGCATTTCCAGCCATTTTCAGAAAAGGAATTATTTGTTTTGGCAATAAACACTAGGATAATTTATCAATGGCAAAACATCTTATATCAATTTTTCCTAATATTCATGGTAAACTTAATTTCTCTCAGTCATTGCTGCAAGTCAATTGTCCTACTTAAATCCTAAAATGTTTAACTGAATTTCTAGATTGTACTGTATTTGAATAACGACTTATAAATAAACCCCAATAAAAGTTTTTAGTTTTGCATTATAAGTTGTTCAAATTCAGTTAGGTCTCTAGGTGTACCACTGTATTTGTTTTTTTGTTTTAAATTATACTACTTATTTAAAGATATTGAATTACTTAGCTAATTCTGAAGACCCTGGAAACTTTTATTTTATTAAGGAACAGCTCTTTCATCGTATATTAAACATCTCTCCTGTAATTCATCAAATATTTTGTACATTCATATTCATTAAAATGCATACTTTTAGAGTATACACAATACCCTTTTATAACATTACAGTTATAAAGCTAGATTCCTGCACATCCCCAAATAAACTGCACTTAAAATATTGTCCCAAATGAGATTCAGTTTAGTGGACTATAAACTGGGAGACCATGAATTCCAGTCCTGCCTTAGGCACAAAAAGCAACTGGATGACTTCAATCCGGTTACTTACTCAGTCCTGAGAAACTGGCAAAAGAAAATTGCATTGACTTTTCCAAGTAGTTGCTATGAGTCAAAGACTGTAGGACTCAAAGGCATACATACATACACGATACAAATACAAAATAATTATTTCTGTTCTGGTATATACACTAAAGAAAATCTAAAATGCTAGCTTGCTGCATCTATTTTTAAAAACACACAAACTTGCTAAAGTAGTAAATGTTTGGAATCCATATCAAAGATATACCAATTCCCTACCTGTTTTTCACTCAAAGCTGTGATTTTGGCTTGGAGTTCATGAAGCTGCTTCTTCAAGTCAGCATTCTGCTTAGAAAAAAAGTATAACAACAATTCTGCTTATTAATACAGATTTGCAATAAGACTGCTTAATAAAGCAAAAATACACCAAAATAATAAATAATCTAAATGTACAAAGAACATTTGAATTTCCTGGTAGTACATTTGTTTAGTGACTCTCAGGCTAATGTCACAGTTGACAGAAGGCAAAATATGAAGTATGATTTACTGGAAACGATTCATAAGGACAAATGATCTATGAAAGCAAATATGGAAGCTCTATAGGCTATTCTTTGCAAAGAAAAAAATGAAATTATTTTAAAAGATCGTTAAAAACTATCACCCATCTCTAAATCTGATCTTCAGCCTCTGGATCTTATAATGTGCATGAGGTAAAAGCAGATATACTTCAAAAGTTTTAATTCATATACATATGAATTATAAATTCACTGAACATTATCAAGTTCCTTAAAATCAAGATTACTGGAATTTTGTTCTCTACATTTAAGGCAAGATGATAAACTCAGTAATAGTTATTAGCTATAAATCTTGAATTTTTATTTCATATTCGAACACAATTTACTAGAGTAGTGTACATGTAGACAATGCTTTGATTGAGACTATGTACAAATGTGCAGAAACTACAGTACCCAGAGCTCAGTGCTTCACCAATCACCCTATTAAATGGTTTAAACAGCCCTTTTCTATATGATAATATTGCAACTATGTGCTCTGTATTATAGGATATTTAATTTCGCTACAATTATAAAATATTCCTTCAATATTCAATGCATAAATGACTATTTTATAGGGAAATGTACAACCTGAATTACATAATCTGTCATAACTTCTATATAAAGCATAGAATAACTTTTTCAGTTTGAAAAATTATAAACAATAACACTAAACTATATAATTTGATACTACTGCTTACTTAATTCATACATAATAAAAATATAGGTTTATTCTGGAATATCAACTTATAAGCATTCACTTAGTGATCATTCAAAGTTACTGAAAACAAAAACTTATGACCAGCTTTCACACTTATGACCACTGGAACATCCCTGTGTCACATGATCAATGTTTGGGTGCTTGGCAACTGACATGTATTTATGACAGTTGCACTCTCCTGGGTCATGTGATCACCATTTGTAACCTTCCCAGATTCTCTTAATGACCAAATGATTTAATTAACAACTGCAGTGATTCACTTAACAATTGTGGCCAGGAAGATTGTAAAATGGGGCAAAACTAACTTAAGAACTATCTTGCTTAAGCAAGAGAAATGTTGGGCTCAACTGCAGTCTACCTGTAACATGACTGCATGTCAGACCTCATTCACTATTCTAGCTCCATGTTCTGTTTAATTTTACTTCTGCGTTCAAAGCAAATTATAGATTCACCCACTGATAGTGAATTATGATTTTGCTTATCTGCCAAACAAGAATTACAAACTATGAATTAAAGCAAGCATAAGTGTTAAAGCACTGGTTTAAACAAACACAAAATTAATCACAATTTTCTGAAAAGCAAAACAAAGCATCAAACATACTAATACTTATATACTAAATATGTTTTATGAATGTTTTAATTTAATTTTGAAAAGTAATTCAGGCAAACACACAAAATTGGATCTTGTATTAAACATTAATAATATCATATTCAATTAAGAGTACAAATAAAACATATTTTACCTGTGGATCCTGTTTCATTTGGGCAACCAATTTCTGAAACAGATGATAAATTTTGTTAGTACTTTCTATAATTTTCCAAGTTTCTAGTAAGATCCAGCAAAGACAAGTTTAGTGCTGCCAGTTTTTCAACAAATGTTAACACCACTGCTACATCAACTGTTATGACTACCAGTATACTTCCAAGTGCAATTCAAGGTGCTACTAGTCACCTTAAAAGCCCTTTATGGCTTGGAGTCAGGTTACTTATGGGACTATGTCTTCCCAGTTGTCTCTACCATTTCTGTCTGATCAAACAGGAGAGGCATGTGCTGGATACCATTTAAGACAGTGGTCCCCAACCTTTTTTGTACCAGGGACCAATTTCACGCAGAAACACTTTTTCAAGGACCGGGGGGGAGGGACGGGGGGGGGACACTTTTTCAAGGAGGGGGGAGGGGGAGGAGTCCGAGTTTGGTGGTTTGCTTGCAGACATTTCATTACCTGACTAGATAACATCTGATGTTGTTACCTAGTCGGGTAATAAAACGTCTGCCAGCAAACCACCAAGTTCAGGGAGCATCAATGCCTCCTCATTTCAACCCTGAGCGACAGATATTCTCTTCTATTGGGACATTTAAAACGGAGCGTTTCAGCTGCAGATTCAGGAACTGCACCGGGCTGAGGAGCGCCTTCAAAACTGAGCGCTGGGCGGCAGCAGCCCGCGGCTGTCTCCGCAGCTCAGAACAAGTCCCTGCAGGATGGCTGAGAAGCCCCGCCTCTCAGCCCTGCCTCCCTCAGCCTCATCCCTCAGGTGTCTCCCTCCCTCCCTCAGCCTTATCCCTCAGGTGTCTGCCTCGTTCCTCTCTCAGTCACTCTCTTGCTCCTCCACCAGCCCAGGAAGAAACTGCTTCAAAGAAGCAGGCAGGGTGGCTTTTCCTGTCGGCGCAGCTCCTCCGAAGCGCCTGTTCACCCCAACCCTGCCGCCCACGGTTCAATCCAGTGCTCCGTTCTGCCTGCCTGCCTGCCTTCGTTTCTGGTTATTTTGGAGCAGCTTCGGCTGAGTAAAAGAGGCGAATAGTTATTATTCTCAGCCAAAGCTACTCCGAAACAACCAGAAACGAAGGCAGGCAGGCAGGCAGAACGAAGCACTGGATTGAACCGCGGGCGGCAGGGTGGGGGTGAACGGGCGCTTTGGAGGAGCTGCGCCGACAGGAAAAGCCACCCTGCCGGCTTCTTTGAAGCAGTTTCTTCCTGGGCTGGTGGAGGAGCAAGAGAGTGACTGAGAGAGAAATGAGGCAGGAGGAAACCGAAGCCACTGAGCCGGAGAGCAGGACAGGCTTTGGTTGCTTCCTCCCTCCCCTTCTTTCATTTGTGTCCTTGATCCCTGATCCCAGCAGCATTCACTGAAGGCGAAGAAAGCCGCCATTTTTATTTTATTTTTATTTTCTTTGCAGCCCGGTACAAAATCATCCACGGACCGGGACCGGTCCGCGGCCCAGTGGTTGGGGGACCCCTGATTTAAGAACTATAATCTAACAGAACCTTTCCTATTATGGCATCCATCCTTTAGAGATTGGGTTGGCCATGTCTCTGTTGGCTTGAGATAAGTCCTATCTTGAAGACTTGATTCTGTGCTCAAGCCTGTATTAACTGAAAATAATTTGTAATTTTATAATTTGTCCCAGGTTTTATATGTTTTTATTTTTTTAATATGGTTTATATTTTTAATGTTATTAGCTACCCAGAGTCATGTACAGGAAGTCCTCAACTTACAACAGTTCATATAATGACCATTCAAAGTTACAGTGGCACTTGTGACTTATCACCATATTTCACGCATATGACCACTGCAGCATCCCCACAGTCATATGATCAAACTTCAGACACTTCACATCTCATATTTATGACTGTTGCAATATCCCAGGTTTTGCAACCTTCTGACAAGCAACGTTAATGGAGAAGCCAGATTCACTTAACAACTGTGTTACTAATAACTTCTGTGATTCACTTAACAACTGTGGCAAGAAAGGCTGTAAAATGGGGCAAAACTCACTTAACAAAAGTCTCCCTTAGCAACATAAATTTGGGCTCAATTGTGGTCATAAGTCGAGGACTAATTGTAATTAAAATGAGTGGTCATAGAAGTCTATTAAAACATAATATGCCTATAAGTCCCCGCAAATTGTCTACCCCATTAAGTACAGCATTAAGGCCAGTGGTAACTAGAATAATTTAAGAGAAGTTAAAGTTGACTCTCAGTAATTATAGTCAAAGCAGGCATATTAACTTTTTTGGATCCATGGAGATTCTCTTTAGGAAAGGGCATATACTGCATCCTTCAGAAGTGATTACGAGATATTCAATGCCACTCATGCTTACAAAGTCAATAATTGCTTTGTTAGATCTTATCAGCCAAGATAGGCAAGGATCAAGTCAACAGTGTTCCACTGCCATAGACTACAATGATGTAAATGGAACTCCAAAAATCTAAAGGGCAGCATTCTAAACACTTCTTCAGTAGCAATCAAATATCAAATTTACATCGTATGGGTGGGTGACAAACAACTGACATCATCAAAGCCAGATGCAAATCTGAGTAACTATCATCCCATCACAAAGTATCCATTAATCTTGGTACACTGACATATTTCATTTACTAGAGATATAATTTAGAGGAATGCGTGCATCACTGAGTGGCAGCACTCTTTATAGAGTTGCACTTACAATCCTATGTTTTCAGTCCAAAATGTAGCCAAAATATTATAAGCCTGAACTGTGTTAGTTCACCTTCCAACTTCTTTATTATATCTCCAATAACCAAAAAACCCCTTAATTAAACATTATCACAAGTATCCGAAGTATGATTATTTTGCTGAATTAACAATTTTAAGGTCAATAGAATCTTATTTCATAGGTTTAAAACAGTCTATCATTAAATTAAAAAGATAAGGCATTCAAACTTACTTTTCTAAAGGTCACATAGATTACATGAATTTCATTTTACATGTTTCAATTTCTAATAAAGACACTGTTTTAGAAATATTCAAGTAGAAGACACAAAACCTTAATCAAAGACTGCAAGTCAGAAGTTACAACAGCATCAGGATCAAAGAATTTAAGTAAAAATGTTTATATATGTACATTTTACATATACACAGCAAAATAATAAACAAAAATCTAAAAAAAACATTATTGATCTGTCTGTGATGAAAAACTGACAACATATGCGAAGGATTAAAGGTAATGTGAGACTTTGAATGTGAGGCTTTGTTGTGTGTCTTCAACTCAAATTTATGTCAGTTCTACTTACATAGGATATTTTTCAGCTTGCTTCTGCTTAAAAATATATGGATGTGGTCCTATGATTTTGCCCACAGTGCATTCAGAAAGCATTTAGACCACCTTCACTGTTGTCAATTTTGTTATGCTACAGCCTGATTCTACAGTTGTTAAAATTCGTATTTTTCTCATTAATCTATATTCAATATCCCATAATAACAAAATTTTAGGAATGTCTGTACATTTATTAAAGAGAAAAAACTGAAATATCAAATTGGCATAAGTAATCAGACCCTTCACTCAGTACTTTGAAGAAGCACCTTTGGTAGCAATTACAGCCTTGAGTCTTTCTGGGTATGAAGCGACAAGCTCTGTACACTTGAATTGGTGGATTTTCTGCCATTCTTTCTTGCAAATCCTGTCTAACTCAGTCAAGTTGGGTGATAACCATTTTCAGGAGAGCCATTTTAAGGTCTCTCTAAGATGTTCAATAGAGTCAAGGCTCCGGCTAGGCCACTCTAGGACATTTTCAGAGTTATAACTAGCCACCCCTGTGTTGTCTTGGCTGTGATTTTAGGATCATTGTCATATTGGAGAGTGAATTTTCAGCTCAGTCTGAGATCCTGAGCACTGTGGAACAGGTTTTAATTGTGGATATCCCTGTATTTTGCTCCATTCTGCTTTCCCTCAATCCTGACCAGTCGGCCAGTCCCTGTTGCTGAAAAACACCCCAACAGCATTATGCTGCCGCCACCATGCTTCACTGTTGGGATGATACTGGGCAGATAATGAGCGGTGCCTGGTTTCCTCTAGATATAACGTTCAGAATTGAGGCCAAACAGTTCGATCTTGGTTTCATCAGACCAGACAATCTTGTTCCTCACAGTCTGAGAGTCTTTCAGGTGCTTTTTTACAAACACCAAGCTGGGTTTCATGTGTTTTGTACTAAGGAGCAGCTTTTTTCTAGCCACTCTGCCATAAAGCCCAGATTGGTGGAGGACTGTATTGATGGTTGTTCTTCTGGAACTCTGTCCCATTTCCACACAGGATCTCTGGAGCTCAATCAGTGACCGTTGGGTTCTTGGTCACTTCTCTAAGGCCCTTCCCCCCGATTGTTCAGTTTGACCAGGCAGCCAACTCTTAGAAGAGTCCTGGTTGTGCCAAACTTCCTCAATTTGAGAATTAAAGAGGCCACTGTGTTCTTAGGAGCCTTCAGTGCAGCAGAAATTTTATTGAAGTCTTCCTCAGACCTGAGCCTTGCAATAACTCTGGTCTGTGAGCTTTTGCAGGCAGTTTTTTTGACCTCATGGCTTTTGCTCTGCTACAGTATGTATTGTCAGCTGTGAGGCCTTCTACAAGGCCTTCTCTCTGCCTTTCCAAATCATGTCCAATAAATTTAATTTACCACAGGTGGACTCCAATCAATGTGTAAAAACATGTCAGCAACAATCAAGAGAAATAGGGAGCACTGGAGCTATATGTTGTTGCAAAGGGTCTGAATGCTTATGCCAATGTGATGTTTCATTTTTTTCATTTTTAATGAATTTATAGACATTTCTAAAATTCTGTTTTCACTTTGTTATGGAATACTGATTAATGAGAAAAAAATGAATTTCAACAACTGTAGAACCAGGCAGCAGCATAACAAAATTGACCAAAGTGAAGGGGGTCTGAATACTTACTGAATGCATTGTATAATCAAACCTTGATATAATCAAATTTTAAGAGCTGGAACAATTTTTCAAATGTAATCCAAGCCATATTTGACCATGAAAATGGCCATCAAAATTATTTTCAAGAAAGCATCTATCAAATCTTTTTCATTCTATGTACAGTTTTTCTGATATGCATGCCTCCTTTAAGGCAATCCGGTTTCTAAAGCATTTTCTGGAAGGTGTCTGGGCAATGTAGTTTTTTTTACTCAAAAGCCTAACAATTAAAGTTTGAGATATTTTTGTAGCAAGCTATGTATAAAGTGTGTTGCAGAAGTTTATTCTGCCCAGTTTCCATGTATTGGGAGGGCCACAAATGGCACACTGACTATAATTGATTCAATTTGATGAATTTCTTACTGTCAAATCTAGCTTTTTCGTAGATACAGTGCAACAGCTCTTATTCAGTCTTTCCATTAAATAAGATACGGATACACAGAGATACAGATTTACTAACTCACTTGAAATCAGAGCTATCATCCCAAAACAATGGATGATCTGAAAGATTGCACAATGTTCTTTAATATTATAGGAGATAAAATACAGGGCTATTTTATATGTCAAAATAGTGTCAAAATACAGAGTAATAGTTCCCTAGCACCACCTTGTGGAAACAATGATCCCAGGTTCAAATGCTACTATTGAAGGAATTCCCAATTCCCAGAAGACACTTATCAAGAAGTAAACTATACCTCAATAGGTACGAAAAGATTATCTTTTCCAAATTGATGGAAGCATTCGGCATTATGTGGCATGCCAAGGGTAAGAGTTAAAGAGTAAAGTGGACAGGATCAGAACAAAGTCAAACAAACCACAAGTTAAAGATTTGTAGATAAACAAACATTCTTTAACTGGCAATTGCCTAACCTGTATTTCAGAAAGATCTGGAAGAAAGGTATCACTATCTTAGCAGACAGCATACTTTTGCCATCACTGCCTCACAAATTCAAGTTGTTTAAACCAGTTACAAAGTTCTACAATACATTTTGTGTACATGTATTTATTAAAATACATATTTCTTTTGTCATCATTTTAAAAGTAAGTGAACATATTTAAAGCTATTTTTGAACTTTATATATACCAGTAATCGCAAATCTCAAGTACATACAATTTGGGATATTTTTAACTTTTTTAAAATTCCTAATTCTTCCAAAAAAGCCTGTTTAAACTCATGGTAAAGCACTGGACTAGAAGTGGAGGGAATTGAGTTCTAGACCGGCCTTAGGACAGAATTCTTCTCAGTTCTCAGAAGGCAATGGCAAACCATTTACAAAAATGTTGCTTAGAAAACTGTCCATGAAGTCACCAGGTGTCAACTAACTTGAAGGCATATATACACAGATGAAAAGAGCATCTCTTTTAAATAGGTTGTTTCCTACTTCTCTGCCATAAAATTTAAAGCGTTATTTGCCAATGAATTTTGGTAGTATGTGTAGAATGAGGTTCTGGGGTATTCCTAGTTTATCTTCGAAATAACTGATATCAATCTCAATTTTCTAAACTGAAAAGTTTGAAAAAATAATAGGATTGTACTCTCCCTGATTTTTCTCATTATAGGTCCGCTATCAAGAAAACTATAACAGTTTGAACAAGTGTTGGAGATAACCTAGACAATCAATAGTATCTAAAATGTCTGGAGTTAAAATGCCAATAGCCATCTTAAAAGGCGGGTAACTTAGAAATAAATACTCAAAAGTTATTAACCTATTGGAAATTAACACAAAACTGAAAGTGTTCTATCCCTCTTGTAGGAACCTCCTGAATATTCGAGCTATTTATTCACTGGCATTCAAGTATTAGCCCAGGGGCAACTTCTGTTCACTTTGGTTACCAGCATAAGCTGGAATCTCTTTAGTAGATATTAGCACTTCACCAATAATTCAAATGAACAAAGTTGAAAAAGAAATTCCTTAAAGTTCACCCTCTTAAATCTTGATAATAGAGACCAGAGTGACTTCAATGTCTTTCAATTCAAAGCCAAATTACTGTACCTTTTAGAGAAAATAAATGTTAAAATCATAGCATTATGTCCTTACAGCTTTGTAAGGAAGACAATAAGACAAAAAAGGCATACCTGTCAGTTAGTGTCTTGCAGTATCTGTATACATGCTGCTTTCAAGATCAGAGTGTAAAGTTTACAAATTTTATTAACCATTTCAGAAACTTATAGGATCCAAATTTTGTGATCAGTTTCATGAATTACATATATGTTTTTAATGTTGCATGGATTGTAAGAACTGTGTATGTTCACCTCATGTTCAATAACCATAATTTATGAGCTGAAAACAAGGAAATAGTTTGGTAATGCATGGTTTCAGAAAGTTGAAAAAAAGGTAAAGAACTCACCTGGCTTAGAAAAGAATTGGTGGAGTATTAAAAATGTTAAAAAGAGCACACTTAACTAAATTCATTTTTGTTGTATTTCTATGCTTTTTCTGTCTCTGTCTCCTGAGACCTTTAAATAATATACGTTTTAAATTTCATATGTATGTGTATGTGAAGTATATATTTTATGGAAGACCAATGAATACTTCGAGTCCCAGAAAATTGTGGACAACAAACATCAGAAATAAAAACAGACGAACACTAACCATAATGCTGAATTTAGAAATGTGCCAAAACTTACCAAGAAACTAGTATTTTTAGCCCAATCTCTTGAAATTAGAATTGTTTCTAATAAGTTTTGCAAGTGAAACAAAGGGAAAAAAGTTATTTACCTGGTGAACCTGAATTTCTACTTTCAGAGCCTCCTGTAGAGTCTGCAACTCCATTCTCTGCCTTCTCCACTTTCTTGCGCTGTTGAGGTTACCAAATCCCCACACCTTCAGATGCTTGTTTTAATGAAAAGAAAAACTTTGCTTTTACAGTAGTCCTATAAAAAAGTATTTTAATAAAAGGGGAAAAATCAACAACTTTACAGCATAATTGTTCTACAGAACACGACAACTAAGAGTCATACACTTATCTGACACTAAGTTCTAAAAGTCTGATGTAACTTATTTCATAATAAATGTCCATAAAATTGAAAATGTATATTCCTAAAATTATTTGTTAAAACAAATGACAAATACTAAATATTCACTGCATACACACACACACACACACACACACTTACTTTATATTAAATGAAAATAAGATAATACCGAGAAACTAAACCACTTCTTCCAGTAATTAATTTACAAAAGATCTGTAACATTTTTTCAGAGCCATTCTAATGGCCATAAAATATTAAAAACTACAATTAAATAATTCTGAATCTAGACCTTTTTTGCCACCTTTTAAAGTGTTATATACCAAGTTTATACTGGTGCTTTAAGATCCCCTTCTAAGAACATTATGTTCTGTAATAAATATTTCACACAATATACTTTATTTAACTGATGTCAAGCTAAAAAGTGTACATTCTAAATTAACTTGTATAGAAACTGCAAGAGTAAAGCAGCTTACCAACTTTGCTAAACAAGTATCCTCTTCAGCCCTCTAGCCCCCCTACAAAAGAGAGAGAGGAATTGATCCGTTAACAATATATCAATACTAACTTTTGAATAATAAAAATACAATTAGGAGACAACTGTCAAAAAACTTTTTATGAAATTATGAATATATATATTATATTATTATTATTATTATAGATTCTGCCGAAATGCTACTTTAAAAGCACAACTATAATGACCTGGGAAAATACCCGAACAAAGCTGAATAACATACATGTAAGTACCTGCAAAAGCTTAAGAAAACACACATACATACATACATACACACATACATACATACATACATACATATATATGACAGGAAGGAAACTTAGGAATTGGAAGAAAATGGGTGAAGTACCTTTGACAACTTTGCTATATTAGAATAGGGGTAAAATTCTTTTTCCAAATGGACAAGTATTTTAAACAGAATTCAATCCTTATTATTCCTTTTTGCCTGCTGAAAACACCTGAAAGCAAAGCCAAACTCCAAACCAGAATGAATTAATGAATTAAATATTTGTAGTATTGTTAAGTGGGCTCAATAATCTTAAGCGATAAATTTACTGAAATATCCCTTAATATCTGTAAGTAACCCAGATCTATCCAGTTTATAACCTACTTTCTAATTAATTGTTCTTGCTCCCAGAAATGGAATTCTGATTATGATGATGTGCCATCAAATCAGTGCAATCACACTGATTTTCCCCAAGAAGATCTGTCCTCAACCTGATCCTTCAGGTCATGCAGTGGTGCACCCACTGCCTCTGCAATAAAGTCCATCCGCCTTGCTGCTGACAGTCCTTTTTCTTCTTCTTTTGTTTCACCACTGAAAGCATTATAGACTTCAAGAGACAACTACTAACTCTCATAATTTTGTCCCAAATTAGGATAATTTAAACCTAGTCATTTGTGCATCAAATGAGAAATCTGGGTTGATTAATTCTATGATGTATGGTTTTTTGGCCACTAATAGTATTCTGAAGAGTGCTCTGATTTTAAAAATTTCTTTCTTCCTCAGTTCTTCTAAGTCCAATCATGGATTATCACAGGGAAAACCACTAGCACAATTTTAATTTTTATGGGGATAGACACAACATATCTGAATTATTTTCTGAGGCCTTCACTGCTGTTTATCAAATGCTATCTGTGGTGCACAGCTAATTCCATACACTGTTGACAGATTCTAAAAGACTCTTGATAGATTAAGTCATGCTGTAACTTCAGTATTTTCATTTTCAATTCTAAATTTGTTATGGTACCTGTTGTCATTAGTTTTCTTACTCTTCTTTTTCTGTAATAGTCCCATTTTATTGCCTTCCTTAATTTTCATTACTAGAGCTTCTGGATCATTTGCATTTTCAGCTACCAGAGTAGTATGAATAGCATAGTGACTGTTATTTATGTTTTTTTCTCCATTTTTAAAACCATCTACAACTTCTTCCAACCCAGCTATCCTATATATATACAGTATATACATTGCTCAAAAAAATAAAGGGAACACTTAAACAACACAGTGTAACTCCAAGTCAATCACACTTCTGTGAAATCAAATTGTCCACTTAGGCAGCAACACTGATTGACAATCAATTTCACATGCTGTTGTGCAAATGGAATAGACAACATGTGGAAAGCATAGGCAGTTAGCAAGACATCCCCAATAAAGGAGTGGTTCTGCAGGTAGAGACCACAGACCACTTCTCAGTTCCTATGCTTTCTGGCTGATGGTTTGGTCACTTTTGAATGCTGGCGGTGCTTTCACTCTAGTGGTAGCATGAGACGGAGTCTACAACCCACACAAGTGGCTCAGGTAGTGCAGCTCATCCAGGATGGCACATCAATGCGAGCTGTGGCAAGAAGGTTTGCTGTGTCTGTCAGGGTAGTATCCAGAGCATGGAGGCGCTTCCAGGAGATAGGCCAGTACATCAGGAGACGTGGAGGAAGCCGTAGGAGGGCAACAACACAGCATCAGGACCACTACCTCCGCCCTTGTGCAAGGAGGGACAGGAGGAACACCAGACCCTGCAAAATGACCTCCAGCGGGCCACAAATGTGCATGTGGCTGCTCAAATGGTCAGAAACAGACTCCATGAGGGTGGTATGAGGGCCCGACGTCCACAGGTGGGGGTTGTGCTGACAGCCCAACACCGTGCAGGACGTTTGGCATTTGCCAGAGAACACCAAGATTGGCAAATTCGCCACTGGCATCCTGTGCTCTTCACAGATGAAAGCAGATTCACACTGAGCACGTGTGACAGACGTGACAGGGTCTGCTGCCTGCAACATCCTCCAACATGACCGGTTTGGCAGTGGGTCAGTAATGGTGTGGGGTGGCATTTCTTTAGGGGGCCGCACAGCCCTCCATGTGCTTGCCAGAGGTAGCCTGACTGCCATTAGGTACCAAGATGAGATCCTCAGACCCTTTGTGAGACCATATGCTGGTGCGGTTGGCCCTGGGTTCCTCCTAATGCAAGACAATGCTAGACCTCATGTGGCTTGAGTGTGTTAGCAGTTCCTGCAAGATGAAGGCATTGATGCTATGGACTGGCCTGCTCGTTCCCCAGACCTGAATCCAATTAAGTACATCTGGGACATCATGTCTCGCTCCATCTACCAACAGGCTGTCCAGGAGTTGGGGAATGCTTTAGTCCATGTGTGGGAGGAGATCCCTGAGGAGACCATCTGCCACCTCATCAGGAGCATGCCCAGGCGTTATAGGGAGGTCATACAGGCACGTGGAGGCCACACACACACTACTGAGCCTCATTTTGACTTGTTTTAAGGACATTACATCAAAGTTGGATCAGCTTGTAGTGTTTTTTATCACTTTAATTTTTTTTTCCACTTTAATCTTGCTAACTGCCTATGCTTTCCACCTGTTGTCTATTCCATTTGCACAACAGCATGTGAAATTGATTGTCAATCAGTGTTGCTACCTAAGTGGACAGTTTGATTTCACAGAAGTGTGATTGACTTGGAGTTACATTGTGTTGTTTAAGTGTTCCCTTTATTTTTTTGAGCAGTGTACTTATTTTCAGTATTCTTTCGCTTTCTTTGAATCCTGCTAGGGACTATTTGCAGTTTGACCAAACATACTCCACTTGCTCTAACTTTAGCCAAGATCTAACAATTAATAAAGGTATTTAGTTTTTGTGAGCCTTATATTTACATTCTGGGTCTATTTTGAATAAAACGATGAATAACCACCTAAATAGTTCTACAAATACTTTTTTCTCTTTATTCCTTAACAACTCCTTGCAACTGAAGTTTGAAATTCTACACCTCGAAAACACTAGTACAAATTTGAAAAATAACAGAACATCAAACCAGGAAATATTTGAAAAGCTAAATTTTTAATTGAAACTCATTAAAATGGCATTATGCATACATCAATACCCGGGAAGATACTGAAAAAGATAATAAAAAAACAGATCTGCCAACATCTAGAAACAAGTAAAGTAATAACTAGCAGTCAGCATGTGTTTGTTAAGAACAGATCATTCCAAACCAATCTTATTTCATTCTTCAACACAGTGACTAAATTAGTAGACCAGCAAAATATTGTGGACATAACCTAGTTAGATTTCAGCAAGGCATTCAACAAAGGAGACCACAACCTACTTCTTAGTAAGCTAGAAAAAGGTGGAATAGATAGCACCACCACTAGATGGACTCGCAAATGGCTGGCAAACCATAAACGAGTAGTCCTTAATGGGTCTAAATCTACATGGAGGGAAGTAAGCAGTGGGGTGCCACAAGATTCCATCTTAGGCCCAGTACTCTTCAATATCTTCATGAACGACTTATGATGAGGGAATAGAACGGGAACTTACCAAATTTGCAGATGATACTAAGGTGGCAGAAATAGCTAACAGCCAAGAAGATAGGCTCAAGATCTAGATGGATCTTGACAGATAGAATACTGGGCCGTATCTAACAAAATGAAATTCAATGTAGAGAAAAGTAAAGCCCTACACTTAGGCAAGAAAAACCAAAAGTACACATATAGTCTGGGTGAAACCAGGCTCAATAGCAGTAACTGGAAGAGGGATCTTGGAGTCCTAGTGGACAACCAGCTAAATATGAGCCAGCAGTGTGCACCAGGAGCCAAAAAAGCTAAGGCAATCCTAAGTTGTATTAACAGAGGGATACAATCAAGATCAAGGGAAGTACTAATACCACTCTATAAGGCCTTAGTAAGACCTCACCTAGAGTACTGCATCCAGTTTTGTTCACCACATTATAAAAAAAATGTTGAGACTCTAGAAAAAGTACAGAGAAGAGCAACCAGGATGATTAGGGGACTGGAGGCTAAAACATACAATGAACGGTTGCAGGAACTGGGCTTGGCTAGTCTAGTAAAGAGAAGAACCAGGGGAGACATGATAGAGATCTTCCAATATTTGAGGGGCTGCCACAGGGAGGAGTGGGTCAAGCTATTTTCTAAAGCGCCTGTAGGCCAGACAAGGAATAATGGATGGAAACTGAACAAGGAGAGATTTAACCTGGAAATAAGAAGAAACTTTCTGACACTGAGATCAACCAACCAATGGAACAGCTTGCCCTTGGAAGTTGTGGGAGCGCCATCACTTGAGACTTTCAAGAAGAGATTGGACTGCCATTTGTCAGAAATCGTGTAGGGTCTCCTGCTTGGGCGGTGGGGTTGGACTAGATGACCTGCAAAGTTCCTTCCAACTCTGATTATCTGTTATTATGTGTTATCTGTTACATCTAAAAATGGATTATATCATCACTATTCAGTTCTATGCTAGAAGATTAAATTGTGCAAATTTGCTATTTATATTTTCAAATTACAGAAACATACGAAAATTTTTGAATTAAGTTAGGCTAAAAAACAAACTTAGCTCTTCCAAGAGTCATATAACTTCCTGCACAATTTATGTTATCCTAATTATTCCACATTCACACTAAATTATCTTAGCACACACACAAATGTAGAGTGAATTTTTTAATAAGTTGATATATTATATTTCCTATTGGAAAACCTCAATAAAC